AAGTAGCGAGGGAGGAATTCTACACGCTAAGATCAATAGGCTGATTCCACTGTCACAATATAAGGCAGAGATCTGAGACAGCAGTCTGACAGATGGCGTGTCACCTCCGTCAGTGTGACGTCCCGCGTGCGCTTGTGTTTAAATGCCTTCACTTTTGCTTCATTTTTTCTGTTTTGCAGAGATAGTGAGAAACAAAGTGAGATATGCGAGTGCGTGCAGGCATATGTGTGTATGTGAGGCAGGAGAGGGGCAGAAACGCAGAGTGAGAGAACAGGAACACGTGCACACAGAAGCATGTTCGAGGGGTGTCTGAAACGCTTTCATACTCCCACCCAAAAAGCCTTTGGTGCTTGCTGTGCTACAGCACACTTTGCTGTGACTCCTCTACTGATTTAATTAACCTTTACTGGCACTGTTCACACCATTTCTGTGAGCTATACCCAACTGTAAAATGTGTACGACTGCAGTGTCGACCTGTGACTTTAACAAATTGAAATTATTTTCTGATACATGCCCTCGTAAACAGTCCCGGACTCGAACGAGGCAGTAAAGACACGCGAGGGACGGCTGCTCCTTACTGGATATCCTCCATGAAAACATCAAAGGGACACACTTTTTTCCTCTGAGACTACTTGGGACAAAAGGTGCAGGTCAGGGCAAGCGATGCTTCATTAACAAAAGGATGACAGGCATTGCAGGGGAAGTCCCTTTCTGGTAACCAGGGGTCAGCAGAGCCCAAGCCCCTCCACCCGACAATAAACCTCATGTGTGACGGTTTACACATCACGATGTACTGCAATGCCGTAGCTGCAGTACCTAACAAGTCAGTGTGTGCTTTTTCACACCCTATTAGGAATACAACTCAACTGGGCCATGCTATGTTTCTGTTTGGTGCAGTCATTCATGTTTTATGAGGGGTTCATATTGATTCTGAAGGAGCACAGTCGACATTAGGGTCGGAAAAAAATTCTCAATGTTCACTTTACCACAGCAGCTATATGTTGACCTAATGACCTCAAATATAAATATTTATTTCACAAAAACACTTAAACTGTAATGTTAAAAAAAACATTGCAGGAAAAAGCTATAGCAGCTGCAGAATGGCGGCCCCATCAGTTGGCTTTGTTCACAAGGTAAGACGTCTGCCTTTTGAAATGAGGACATTTTCTCTCCTCAATTGAAATGTGTTGTCTGTGTTTTTTGGTGGTGTTGAATCTTACATTTAAAAAGTCATTTTAAACTGTGGTGGGTTCCCAACATTAATTACATTCCATCTTCTGCAGAGCATCTTAAAATTCAATTTTACTTAAAGGCCAAGAGTGCATGAAAGTACAATTATGCATCTCCCATTTTTCTCCCAAGATATTTAAACAAATTGAAATATTTCACCGACGGCTGAATGGCTGCGTGGGATTAAATACACGAAGGATGTCAGATGACCCACATTCTAACCCTGCAGAGCAAATAATGCCTCACTAAAGACCGAGGTCACCTTATGAAACCAGTGCAGTGTTAAAGTATTTCATCTTTAACTTGTCTTTGAAAAGAAAATATAATGTCTTGCTCCTGCTGTCATTGCAAATACAGGACTATTCAAAGACAAATCAATTACCATTGAAATAAATCAAGTTTACAAAAGCAACACTAGAAAACTAATTAGGGCCTAACACTATATAAATGCATTTCACATTATGTAGATTTAAGTGATGAATTATATAAAATAAATGTAATACTTTGTCGCTGTTGGAATGGGGCTTTAGTTTTATACTTTTCTCTTCTCATAATCTTCAGGAATTAACATGCTTTCAGAGATTCTCATACTGCAAGAATTACAATTACAGTAAACTGCTTAAATCTCCACTTTGTCTCATTTCCACTGCTGAGTGCAAACATCCTTTATATAAATCAGGGTGCCACTTATCACAGGATTAAGCTCCCTACAGACAGGAAGTTTTAAAACTATACAGCTGGTACATGTCACAGCGATAATGTAACAAGAAACAGTAAGAACGATTATGTAAATGTGTGTGTACATGTGCAAAGATGCGTGAGTGTGTGTTTGTGTAAGGCGAGCTATAACTGTCAGGTATAGGCAAGCATTTATCTAAATAACTGCAGGGGGAGAAATCACCTTTGTACTTTCTAAAAAATATCACCATAAGCAGGGTTATATTCAAAAAAGTAATTTATATATTTGTTAAAACTAACACTTTAGATACATTTGAGAGTTGTATGTCTTCAAGGTGTTTTTTTAAAAGAAAATAAATACATTTTGAAAGCTTAGTGAATTTTAGGGTCGTGTTTGTTTTTTAGGTTCATGTTGTAAATAGTATATTATAGTGCCATTAGTTAAAATATAGATACCACATGGAGATGATTGTCGAAACTCGAAAACCAATAAAACGGAGGCTTTAATCAATCAGTTTAGTTTTCAAGGGATTTTATCACTAGCAGGGGATTTTCTTAAGTGTAAAATCAATGAAAGCTGTTAAACAGACATCGTTTTTCCTCTGACTTCTTTATTTCAAAATCATAAAACATGTGTTAGGTTGTTAGCTGTTTTATTGGCCATGATAATTCAATTATGGGCTTTAAAAAAGAAAATTAGAAAAAAGAAAATGCAAGAAAAACACATAAAATCAATAAAAACATTTTTTTAAAGTTGACAAATTATCTTAAAAAGTATCTTATTTAACTGACAGCTCCTTCACTTTTACAAAAATACACTTCATGTAATATGTTGTAGCCTAAATACAAATGTACCACTTCAAAAAAAAAGAGCCAATATTATTCTGTCTCTGTGGCTGCACTCAGCGGATCATTTCAAAAGCTGCGGATCAACAGCACCACAACTCTAGCTTCATTTAGAGAAAGCCTGACCTCCTCTACTTGGATCGAGAAGGTTAACATTTGCAGATGCCGCACTCTGTGAACGTTCGCACAGCTTCGGTACTTGTCTGTGTCGTACACTCTGTAGAACAGAGCGAATTAGAATGAAATATTGAGTTCATTTATGAATAAGTGGGGCTGAACGGCCCCTTGTCGGAGCTTCTGCGTTCATATTCAGTTGATGGAAACCTTTGGATGGGTCATTTCTCTTAGCTGCGTCATTAAATAGTGAAAGTCAAAAGTGCAATGCCTCCTCTCAAAAAAAAAATTAAAAAGAGACCAAGATCTAAAGAGGTGGAGTGGGCAAGGTTTTTCGTTATGAAATCTAGATGACAAAAAGGACATTAGCTCCAAAAATAAAAGATATTTCATTATACCACGACACACAGTATTCCTACTTCTCTACATGGGCAGCATATTAAAACATCTGTGCAGTTAAAAAACTACACACACAAAATAAATGAGTTCTTGCATGTTTCTGCTTTTATAAGATTAAAAACACACGGCACCTGGGATAGATAGTCGGTATTGTTTATTTTCCTATAATGAAACTAATTGAGACGATAGAGAGTTAGATAAGGTCTCAGTGGGACGTTGTATTAACGGGAGCCAATCAGAAGCAGCTTCTTGAGACGCTTTCAAAGGAAACTCCAGAGGATGTATGCCAGAGGGGCGCAGGGTGGAGTGTGTGTGGGTGTGTGTGCTCATGCAGTAAGTGGCGGGGGGGGCAGGTGCAATCGAAGCCCAATGGAGAACCTATTGACGCTGCGTTGTCTCGGAGAATAAAGCAATGAATGTTGACATGGTTTTGTGTTTGGCATGTTCACCAACAAATATGAGTGGATTGGAGCACTAAGGAGGTGAGGGTTATGTTTACCGGCCCCTCTGCGGTTGGGCCCAGCTTTTAGTGACTCATAAATGCATACAGTGGACTGGGCCAAAGCAAAGGCCAGACACTGGAACAAATACACGGGTGGGGATTTTGATGGCATTTTGAAAAGGTAAAAGACTTACTCAGCTCCCCCCCCCCCCGGAGACAAGCTCACTATGACGAATACTGCCATTAAGAAAATGACTTGTCTCAAATGTCAGACTGTAGCCAATGTTTTCAGAATAAAAATTGATAGCACATGAACACAAGACATTTTCCCTTTTACACCCTTTTTCTTTTTTAAATGTTCTTGCCAGGAAAGTGTAATCAACTCTAATTATGTTTAACTGCCTGCCACTCTTTGAGATCATCAGTTTCTTAAAATAATTGGAGCTTTATATTCAATGTCTTTTAATGGTGATGGCTCACACTATGATGATGATGAATGATGTCTAATGTCAGCAGCACTTAACATCAGAGGATATTTTTTAAAGCTTTACACTCAAACATATGAAGATGAGAGGATCAATTCAATGACATGGGAGAAATATTGCTAACTAAAAAAAAATTCTGAAAAGATGCAATGAATGTAAACTAAAACAAATAATGCAGGGAGATGAAATAATGTTAAAAACCAGATCTACATTTCATTTTAACGTACATTAAAAGAGATAGAAAATGTCTTTGTCAGATGCAAACTGACCTTGCAAGAGGTAATGGTAGCAGAACTAAAAATAAAAATATGTTTAACAAAGTGTCAATTCAACAAGAATACGCATATGCAGCTACTTTATACGCATTGCCGCCATTTGAGGAAACAAAGATTTGCTCTCTTCAAACAGAGAACCTCAATCCTCTGTCTCAGGTTCCCAGCATGATCAAATTTGCACTTCAAACCATCCTAGCCATTTAATCAGCCATTGTGCATGCCTAGTCAACCACTGCAGAATTTCTAAGCAAAATCTCAGACTGAGGCACACAAAGCTATCTTTGATTATACGCTGGCCCGTGGGGAAACTTTATCAAACTCCTTTGCTTCCTGTGGAGAAGAACCAGGTGACTATAGGAACTGCTCAATCGCTGGGCCACATTTTTTTTTTCTGCACACAGCAAGGAATCACTCCTTTGATCCAAAGAGAGGCAGCTGCAAATTCCCCTCCAGATACCGGCCCCACCAATCACGCTTACGCTTCCTTCAACCAATCAGGGCCTTGTCTCCAGCGCCAAAGCATAATCCAACCTACTGCTGCCTTTTATACATGCCGATTCCCTCCTCCTTTTGCAGAGTGATGTGAGCTGCAAACAAATAAGCATTTTCAGGTTGAAGAATCAAAAGTGTGCCCTACTCACCCATCTCGTTGTCGGATTTATTGTCCATTTCCGTGTCAGTGAGGGTGAGTGCTGAGTTAGAGCGACTGGAGAGGCATGAATCCTGCCCAGAGTTTGCCCCCGTTCCCCAAAGAGTCATGGTACGTTCCGGTGATACAGGCTCATGGTTCTCTGTAGCGCCCGGCCCTCTGGAGTAGCTGCTGAGGGGGTGGGAGAGGCCCGTCTCAGGGCAGATCGCCAAGCCTCTCCGGGACTGGGGCTCACAGATTCCAAGTTGCCTCAGCGAAAACGTCTGGCCTGTGAAGGATAGGAGTGGTAAAGTTAACAAACCAATCAACAACAACATTAATGGCCAAGTGCAGGGATACTTAAAAAAAACACTTAACCTGAGAGCAGGGTGCAAGGAGAAGGGGTAATGTTGAATTAAAGTCTTAACAACATCCTCTCACACTCATCACCTTGTAAAGATGCTTAGAAGCTTTTTTCTCTAACTTAAATCACCTAAATCACACTGCAGCTAAAACCTGATTTTGTATTAGATTAGCTGTTCAAGATTACCTACTTTAATTAGCTATCTAAACCAAAACAAACCAAATTAAAGTCAAGCCCTTTGTGTTAATCCAAACATATACAAAATTAAACATTTTTAAAAACAGTTTCAGACACAGCCCGTTTTAGAATACTTTATTACCATAATTTGGTTGTTTCTTCTCTTGTAATGTTATTTTGTTTCTTAATTTGTAAAGCCTTCAATGACACTGTGGCATTCAAGCAAAACAAAGTTATTACATTGAAGACACACAAATGTTGCAGATAAATTAAAATACCTCATAGTGACTTTACAAGAAAGCTTCAGAAAAAAACAAAAAAAAAATCTTAATGTTTAACTGCAAAGCTGTCATTTAAAATATATATTCTATGCATGCAATTGTATTATGTGTTCCTTTAGGTCAGTATCATAATGATAAACCAAGTAAAAAAATATTAATTAAATTAAAAATGATTTGAGCTAAAACCTTCCTTTTCTATATTGTATTTCGGTGTGTTTTAGATGTAAATAACATCAAACTAATTTGAAGGCAATAATATGTAACATGTGTGTACTTATATAACATAATGTATTGGCAATGCAGTATTATTTATAAGTATGACATTGTTAAGAGTTCAAGGTCATATTTGTCAACATGGTTAAAAATAAAAAAATAAACACTGCACTTTGGAAAAATGTGTTCATGATGATCTAACATTTTTTTTTTAATGTATATATCTCAACTAGAAGTCAAAAAGTTTCTTTATAATGTCTCTTTGTAATATATTTAGTTGTCATGGAATTGATGCAGAAAAACACTTTCAAAGTAAGTGTGGCACTTCTGAAAATGAAGATTTCTGAAAATGTTAAAATGCTTCCGAAAATAGATTCCCTCACATTAAAATTCACATCATTTAAAATGATCATTAGATAAAGACATTTTCATACACCATCACACCCACCCACACCCACACCCACACACACACACACACACACACTTGAGCAGATACTGTAGCTAATGTACACTCATTTACACAAAATATGTTATTTTTCCACAACCGAATGAATAACATTAAGTCTGACATTTACTGTGATTGTATAAGAAACAATGTCATTGACATTAAATTCCAACATTTAAAAAAGAAATAAAGAAAAAAGGCATTCTTCCCACAACTTCATAATAATCCTATTAATACTAAAATGGGCACCAATTAGCAGAAAGGAAATGTAAGGGAGAAATGGATAGATTTTCTAATTGCAATTTTGCGAGCCAAAAGAGTACCATTACTGCTCAAACTTTTTAATTACAGAAATTAGAGCAGTTTCTAACAGCCAATTAAAGGACAGGGTTATTTACTGGTAGCTTTCCTTTCATATTTTAACAGCATGAACATGTTATAAGGTCGGACATCTATCCCAACCAAAGTAAGTTTTCTCTTAAAAGGTGATGAAATAAAAGTAAATTCTGGCATAGTAGACTTTCTTTGTCAAACTTGCACACAATTAGTGGGAGATACAAATGGTGGAGTAAACACAACAAACAAAATCCCAGCACCCATTTTAAATGACCAATGACATTTAACTAATTTAACTAATACTAATAAACATCATTAAATAATAATAAGGGATATAAGAAATGTGTTGTTTGCCATGTATATCTCTGACAAACTGGATCTTCACATGTATGTTTCAGAATTGTGGATAATTGTAGAACGTTCTTAATTGTGTAACTACTTATGATACTTTCTGTATAACCAGGATCAACTAACTGTGGGCTTTAAAGTTAAATATAATTGTCTTCTACTTATCCATGTCAGCTTTAATATCCACTTAGCTGATATTATGGAGATTCATCATACAAATGTTAGGAAATCAGAATAAACATTTGCTCTTGCTAACCTGGCCTGCTGTACTCTGCGCTCTCCTTGTGGACCATCTCTTTGACTCTGCCTCCGAACAGCATCCGGGAAGGGTCATGTTCGAAAGCCTGGAGCGTCTCACTGGAGCTGTAGGATTGCTGAGTGGGTACGCGGCAGGGTCCCTCCTCCCTGCCAGCCGAGGAGGCGGTGTATCGGCGTTCCCGATCCTTGTCTCTCTCGCAGAATCTCTCTCGGTCTCTCTGGCTCTTGGACAGCGAGCAGAAAGGCCGCTGCTCCCTCACCCGTTCCATGCTGCCTGCATGCTGGGTATCCAACTCCCTCCCCTGCACCACCACGCTATCCTGGGAGTCTTGCCACTGGATTATTTTAGTCTTTTCCCCTCCTTCTCTTCCTCTCCTGGTTGTATTGCTGTACCCCCAAAGTCCCCTCCTCCCCACTTTTGAACCTCTGTCGGTCTCTTCTTTAGTCCATTCAGGCTTTGGTCCACTCTACCTGGAGAAAAAGAGAGAGAGGAGAGGAAAGGAAGCAAGGAGCTCAGATAACACTAATCCATCTGCTTCATCTTCAAAAGTACACACTTATCCCCTTCTCAGTGCCCCACCCCCACCGCTACTGCTCCATCCCTGAAACCTCACCCGTGAACTCTTGTCATACATGACTTCCCCTCTTAAGAGAAGATCACCTCCATATTCTGTCTGCTTCAGTATTCAAAATTAGGTTCACTTTCACTAAGCGTCCACCTTTTTCACATCAAGTAAAAGTAGTTTTTACTACAACTCGAGGTAGTTGCACATAATAACATTTTAATGAGTAAAATAACGTTGAGCCTTTCAATTTTCCCATGACGATAAGCTAAAATGAACATCCCCCAAGTGTCAGTGGCCGGTTAAATGACGGGTGAATCAATACATCACGGTGGCAACTGACTTTTTGACACAATCATATCACGCTTTAATTTTTAATTTAAACTGTAACTCATACATAATTATAATTTTGACCCTTGATACGCATGTTAACCCAGTGTCAAACGCTGCACACAGAGCAGTAGAGATGATGAGTGTGATGACACATTTCATGGAAAATCGCATACCTGCTGTATTTATGTAAAGTATGGTGTACCAGTCAGTGACATAGTGAGAAAAAGATAGGGGTTGGTTTGCCTAAATGAGTAGAAATAAATACTATTCCTCTCTATGTGATGCTGATAATTCAGATTATGTTCAAGATTTGGTCTGAAATTCTGCATCCTATCGAATAAAATGAATTGAATTCAAGTTAGTGTTGTTTTTTAATGTTATTTGGGTCAACTCTGTGGTCTGTACCTCGTGTCAAAAAAGAAAGAAACCCATGTCTAATCTTGTATTCAAAAGAGGCTCTGAAAAATATTTTTAGGAAAAATGCAAAGCTGTGTTTGCAGTTTAGCAGCCTGATACAGTTAAGAAGAAAACACACATTTTCCATACACACATGTTCTTTTATTAAGCTTTAAAAAAAAAAGAATTCAGTAATATTGTAGTTCCCCAAACATGGCACTTTCATTGGTTCACTGAAACTACCTTATATTAAAGTGTGTTCAGTGGACTATCTAGTATAGTATCTAGAGTATTATAAAACTATCTGCAGTAGTACAATGTTATTCTTAATGAATGGTTTTATCATTTAAACTAATATATCTTGAGTAAAATGTAACATTTAACAGATTGTAATGTATGTGAGTATTTAAACCAAGGAGTTAAATATATCAAGAACAAACAGTGATAGGAAAATGTAGCTTTTAAAAATGCACACCTTTCAATTAAGGCAAAAATACCTAATTGTCAAACCCTGCCTATGACCTATATGTCCCAATCTCTTAATTCAAAGAAGACACTCTCAGGTGGAGGCAGAGCTCTAAAATGTGAAGGACAAGAGGGATGAGAATGTGACTAATCCGTAAAAAAAAAAATCTTGAGTGGAATGAGGATGGGAGCCACGGTGTGTCAGAAGTGGTTATTACCAGCCATTTTCCACACACACACACACACACACACACACACACACACACACACACACACACACACACACACACACACACACACACACACACACACACACACACACACACACACACACACACACACACACACACACACACACACACACACACACACACACACACACACCTCTCTTGGCTGAGCTGTACGACTAGGGTATCCTACTCCTTCTTTCCCCAAATGAGATCTACTTCGTTTCACATCAAGCATCACTACCTTCCAACAGGATGGCATACTGTCGCGGTGCAAAAAAACACCAGGCCCAGAGAGAATTCCCCAAAACTGAGGCATTCGCGGGTGGAGCAGAGGATGCAGGGATAATGAAAATGGTGGGCTGTTCTAGGCCTCTTAAACTTATTTTTCTCTCAGAGTTGCTAGATATCACCCTGTTCCCCAATGGGCTTAGATGCAATCAGTGACACACTCTTTTGTAACCCTGACACTCAAGTCTACCCCTACACACACTTGTTTTACGATACCACAGGACATCTAAATCACATCTCATCACTTTCAGGAAATTGTACACACCCGTCCAGATTGGCAGATTAATGCACAGGATGAGTGCTAGCACACACGCCCAGAAGCCTCCCTGATTACGATGCCCCTCTTCTTTATGGACTTGTAAAGGGATTCACCGTCTGAAAAACAGCTAATGCTACAAGTCTTACGCCCTGAGCCGCGAGCCCCTCACTATAGGAGGAATTGGATTTGTGTCCTAATCAGCTATAAGCCCTTGAGTGACCAGGCATGTCCCCATATAAACATTTATGCTTTACTCCGAGGACCAGAAGGTGCCATCTTTTTCACAGCTCATCAAAGTGTCCTGGCCGTACACACATGGGGACACTATCAGGATACAAGAGAGACATTCATGGTAGTTTAAATTATGTACAAAAAAGGTCATAGAGGCTCTTGGGGGGATTCCATTGTATTTCTGCAGGCTTTAAATTTCAAAGGTTTTAACTACAGTATGACTACTTTAAGCATGTGAAGAATACAAGCCAGTCTGTCTTGCCTTGATTATGCGAAATATGCCTCTAGTTACCCTACTGAGGATACACACTAATCTATGAAGAGGGACAGAAGTGCAGAAAAATCTAAGTAATGGGAAGACGAGTCTGATTAAATTGGAAGAGAAATATTTGCCTGAAAAATCTCAAATGTATACCAAACCTGTGCACCTTTTTTTATTTCTGATATAACTCACTTCTATATTACCTTTACCTTCGATCATGCAGTGGCAACAGGACAGTCGGTCGCCCATGACCACTGAGTGGAACAGTCGACACTGCAAAATGAGTGACACACAGAGATCCTCTGGCGAGCCAGTGAGGCACGGAAAAAGACAGTTTATGATGTTCGCAGGGCAGCTCCACGCGTCCCAACGACTCCCATGCCAGTTGACTACAGTCCCCCCGACGCATGGTACTGTCCTACACCTCACACCTTATTTGAAGCATAGACCATAAACCATCTGTATAATATGGTGTGAAGAAACGGTGTCCAAGTCAATTGGCTCTTCAGGGCAGTTGGAGAGGTTTCAAGGATCGAAGTGAGATTTACTTGTTTCATGTCTGACATTCAGTTATTCATCAAAGATGAGAGCGGGTGTATTTTATGCTTCCAAATGGGGATTTGGAAAAGATGACCAAAGGGTAGAGCAACATTCTTAAGATGTCCTGGAACCAATAACTTGTTTTATACAAAATGTATTAAATATTCATCTGATATACATGGTGCGTTATTCATCAAAAGCTCAAAAGGGAAGTGCCATTTTTGATGCTTCAAGCAAGCATGGTCAACAAGGAAAATAACTTTCTATGTAGGGCTGAATCGAATAGTCACTTGATTAGTGCTGAAACAACAAATCAATTAATTGACTAAGTCGAGAGACAGAAAGTGATCCAATTGTGGAAAAGTCAAGGTCAGATTTATTCCCCAAGGAAAAATAACATTTTATGTCTGGTTCTAGCTTCTTGGTGTTAGGATTTGCGGCTTTTCTGAGTTTTATATACGTTGTTTGTTGAATATCGTTAGGTTTATGACCCCATTTGAGCAAACTTTCTTTACCTTATTACAAAATAAGCAACAGCCAAATGTAAATATGTATTAAAGAATTCATCATACATACATTAGAAAACTAATCAGCCGGCCTTTGGATAAGTTATCTTAATTTTAAAGAGGAAACTTGCTTCCAATATTTTAGCAATTTGTCTGCAACATTAAAAACTTGAATTAAATAAAACATAAACATGTATTATTTAATTAATTGAATATGCTTAATCAGGACGGTTTGGTAGTGGGTAGACCAGATATAAATGATAGAGATAACACAATGTTAACAGATTCAGATGTTAATGTTGCTACATCCTGATTGGTGCATGGAAGCACATGACATCATGATGTTTTAACTGAGCCCCGCCCACATCAAACTGGGTAAAATAACATAAAGAAATATAAAAATCTCTCATGTGAAATAAACACACCAGCACATAATGCGTTCCTACATGAAACTATGACAACAGTAAGGAGCTTATTGAGACAATGTATTTTTGAGGTTTATTTATCGGAGCAGACGGCCACTGGCTTTGATGTTGGATTTTTTTAAACAGAATAACAACAATATCAATAATCATTACTCAAAGCTGAGATATCTTGAAACAGAAAAAAAAGTTGAATCAATAATTAACCTAACAAACAACTACACTGGCTTACAGTGAGCAAGCACACACTCCTGACATCAGCACACAAAGCATTGTGCAAAAAGTAGCCACCGCTGAGCAGAATGCTGAAATGGCAACTCTTCTCCAAGCCTTTGTTCTGTAATTATATTTCCACAGGGCTGCTGTACAAATCAGCTCAGATCTCCCTGTCGGTGACCTCTGTAAATAACGGTAATAATAAAGAGTGCACTTGTCTTTGCGTCCCTCCAAGACAATCCACCTGTCACCAAGTGGCCGGGGCCCGTCCCCCTTCCTCCCCCCTCCTTGTCTTGTTGTTGGCCATTTGCCGGAGCACAGATCAGACGGCTCTCCGCCATGGGGAGTGGTGAGAGTGGTTGATGGAGCTGGTGAAGATCAGGGCTAGCTCCCTTTAACAGCCAGCACCTCCAACAATAGCCGGCTCTGACAGCTTTGCATAATTCATCTTGTCGAGTCTCTCTCCCCTTCCTCCTTGACGCTCCTCTCCCTATCCTCTTTCAGTTTCTCTTCAGTTGTTCTTCGTGTTTTCTTTTCCGTGCCTCCCGGCGCTGGGAGAAGGGGAGAGGGAGAACCAGGGCAGTGTTCCATCAGATGCTGCCTGTTTCCCCCTGACACCAGTGATTTTGGAGACACTGAAGTGTTTGTCTGCAGCACGTTGCCCAGACTCTGTGAATTCT